AATGAATGTTCTTTCCTGTCACCTGTGTTAACTCCCTGGAGGGATCTGGAGTTTCTCTGGGCAGCCGTGCGCCAGCCCTAAATCCCAAAGTCCTGCCAGACAGGAGCCCCGGTGCCTCAGGCAGAGGCAGATCAGTGCTCGGCTGTGCACAGCCAAGCCATAAACGAGCGCACAATACAGAGGTAGCACCAAAGCAGGTGTGGCAGCTAGGTGTTGGCCACGGTGGGTCTGGGGAAAGCTTCGCGCAGTGGCCAGGTTTTGAGACCTGTTTGAAATATGGCTGGGAAAAGTGAGGGTGACACTGAAGGGAGAAAGGGCCCAGCTCCCTGGCGCCCTCTGAGAGTCCTCCCGGAGTACGCAGTGCCCCGCATCCCTGGCCAGGACTTGGTGACCAGACACTTCCAACACCCACAGTGGTCAGATCCACACTCTCTGGGCCTCAGCAAGCTCGTCTCCGAAGCCCTTCTGGCACATAATTACTGAATGGCCACCGCGAGCCAGGCAGTGGGTGTGCAGTGGGGACATACAGCAGAACAGGACAAGGACGTCCCTGTCCTCAGCTCCCAGGGCAGAGGAGTCGGGCAAGTCTCATGGCAGAGACACCGTGGGCCCCCTGGGCAAAGACAGTGTAATAGCTGCAGCAGAGATGAGCAGAGGACCCCAAGGAGCAGGCAGGAGAGGCGCTGTCATGGTCTAAACACTGGTGCCCCCCCCATCTTGGGATGGTGACACCCAAGGCTCAGTGTGCTGGAATTAAGTGAAGTCTGTGGAAGCGATGAGGCCGTGGAGGTGGTGCCCTCATGGACGGGAGGGCACCGTGCCCTTATCACAGAGACCCCAGAGAGCTCTCTCCTGCTACCATTCGATGGCGCCATCACTAAAGCAGACAGCAGGCCCTTGGCCGAGACTGAATCTGCTAATGCCTTGGTCTTGGACTTCGGCTCCTAGCACTGGGGTGGAGTGAATCTCGGCTGTTTGTCAGCTGCCCTGGCCATGGTATTTAGCTAAAGCAGCCTAAGGGCAGCATCCGCCATCAGGACTCAGAGAAGGTGAAAGCTCGGCACTGACTTGGGACCCAGCCATGAGAAACAGCGACTGGGATGAGGGCATCGTGCGAAAGAACGTTCAGGAGTTTAAAATTTACTCTGAAATCCACAAATGTTATTAAAAAGCTTCTGTCTTCCTCTGCGTGACGTTGCTACCTCTCCTACGCTAGCAGCTCCCAGCTCTGTCTCTGCCGCAGGCTTCCCTCTGTGCTGGGCGTCATCTGCTCCCTCATCGCCAGGAGTCCAGCAGCATCTGCAGACCCAGACGGCTCCCTCCCGGCTCAGACCTGCTCCCCCGGGACAGCTGCATGATGTGACAGTAAGGAGGCTCTACACCCCTTGGCGTTTCCTGACTGATGGGGTGAGGGGGATGCTTTTTGGCTTTCATAGCAAGACCCTTTTAGCATCCCTGAGTTTATGGAGGCAGGGAAAAGGGACCAGAAGACCTCAGGATGGGGACTGGTAGCCCGAGGAAGCAGCCACATGATGCAGAGTTGGGTTACGACTTTCACGCTAGTCCTTGAGGGGGAAGAGCTGGAGATGGAGCTGGTCACCAGCGGCCGGTGATATAATCTATCACGGCTGTGTAACGGAACCATCGTAAATCCCCTCAACACAAGGCCTGGGAGAGCTTCCGCATGGGGAGCACACCGAGGTACTAGTAGGATGGCACATCTGCACAGGGCAGAGAAGCCCCCCAAACTTCCACCCCATACCCTACCCTGTGCACTTCTTTCACCTGGCACTTCTTGAATTTTATCTTTTACAATAAACTGGTTCATATACTGCAGGTAAAGTGTTTTCCTGAGTCCTGCGCGCTGTTCTAGCCAGTGAAAGTTGCCCCTTGGTGTCCCAGGGGACTTGTTTCAGGACCTCTCCTGCCGTGGTGGATCCCAAAGCCCGCAGAGGCTCACGTCCCATACATGAGAGGGCAGGGAATTTGCTCATAACCCCAGCACACCTTGCCCACACTTTAAATCATCTCTAGACGATAGAACCTAACACAAAGCCAGCGCTGTGTGGGGAGCTGTTACACTGTATTGTTTGGGAATGACCACGGGAGAAAAAGCCTGTACATACTCAGCACAGACAGCCATTGTGGGCCTCACTACCTACCACACAAAGGAGACTCTTAGAAGAACAAGACGCAGCGTAAGCAGTGCTCAAACAATGAGCGCTGGAGAGAGACTGCGGACTTGTGCAATCTCAGGAGGCGACCGCAGGACGTGCCTGCGTGTCACTTGGGCTCAGCATGCAGCAACTTCAAGCTTTGCTTTTTGGAACATGCTAAGAATTTTGAATGCCTGTTTTCCATTTGTGGTTCGTTGAACTACAGAGGGAGAAGTGGGAGCCGCTGACTTATGACTGGTCAGAAGCATGGGAGGTCCACGGCTTGCAAGTGCCCTCTGAAATAAGGGCGGTTTTGTGCAACTGAGCCCTTCTGTCACGTGATCCAATCTGTGTGATCATGTAGATGGTGTCAGAACTGACTTAGAAGACGCGAGGACACCCAGGTGGTGCCTGGACGGCTGGAGAATTGGTGACACATCAGGAGTCAGAAATGTGGGAATAAGCAGTTCTAAATCCCTGTTTCCATTAATGGCGCGTCTCCCTGGGTGCTTCCTCCAGCACCCGTGGACCATCTCCCTGTCCTCCACATCCATCAAGTGTTGATGTCTGATGATCTCATGTCCAGACCGAATGTCCCGCATCCTGATTGTGAATGCATTCATTCTCTGCCCATCTCCCCCATCACCAGCCTGGCCCGAGCCTCCTCCCTGGATCATTCCAGTACACATCTTTGTTTTGCTTTGTCCCCTCCCCCGATACTGGGGATAGCACCTAGCACCTACTCACTGACCTACATCCCCAGCCCTTTTTGAGACAAGATCTTGCTAAATGACTAAGTTGCCCGGGCTGGGCTTCAAGTTCAGATCCTCCTGCCTCTGCCTCCCAGAATGCTGGGGATTATGGGCATGCACCACCGTGCTCGGCTCCAGTAACCTTCCTGAAGCATTGTATGCAGTTGTTAGAGGTTGTGTCTTAAAAAAAAAAAATGGGCTTCTAGATAAGTGGGCGCTGGGAATGGCGAGGAGGAACTGCTTTAGTGACCCATTCTTCTGCTTGTTTATTCATGTCACCGTACACAGTGTGCTCCTGCTCCAGGCGGACATTCAGGACTGAGCTGGTGACAGAGAATGAGGGTCACCATGCAGAGAAGATGACAGGAAGGCTGGGAGCAGGGTAAAGTTGCCCAGAAAGAGGGTGGAGGGAGAAGAGGCCACGCCAGAACCCTTGTGGGACGGGCAGAGCTGAGGAACGGGCTCCTCTCTGTGAACACCGGAGGAGCAGCAGGGTCCCAATCCCTGGGGGTCCGGAAGACACAGAAGTCAGCAACAAGGAGAGAGTTCCTAGTGGGTGGAGGATGGCAAGGGTAAGAATGGCAAGGGTGGGTGCCGCCTGTAGGAGCGCCCCCTGTTAGACTTGCAGAAATTCTCAGAGCAGGGAATCGAGCCCAGCCATTAAAAACGTAAATGATGGAAACTTAGCAAAACGGGTTATATTAAACACAGAGTAATAAATACTAAAGACTCGTCTATTCTTACTTTACTCCATGTTTTTGACAGCACTCTCTCGGGGTCATGTCTCCGTCCATTGTCTGTGTGGTGGGAATGCTTGATAATCTAAACCGACGCCCCTCGCATGTCTCTTCCAACTCCGCATTTGATGCTCTCTCACTGGTAGCTTAAAATCAGCCACATTTACACTGAGGAAATCAATGATCTCCACCGATCAGAGCTCTTTACCCCCGCAGAGGCGGCTGTTAAGCATTTACCGGTGCGGCCCTGGAAGAGGGATTTCAAAGCCCATATGGGAAGAGAGTAATGTTGTCATTTTGCAAACAGGAAGAAAAAGGCAGCAGCACACAGTGTGTGGGCTTCACGACTGGGGAGTAGGAAGCGATTCTCTGATGGCTGCCATTTTCTGTGTTCTACTGAGGATGAAGCGTGTGGGAGCCAGAGGAGAAAGCGGCAACCAAGCCCTAGATCCAAACCAGGAAGCCTGGAGGACAGGACCCAGGACCGTCCCGGTCCTCCTCTTCCTGCTTTCCGGTGAGGAGGAGGAGCAGCAAGTGAAGGAACGGGACAGTCTCTGAACAGTGCTGAGCACCGTGCAGGAGCTGCAGGACCGTGTGCCACCAAGGAAGGGCGGGGGTTACTTGCCACAGGAGGAGGTGTAAAAGCGAGGGAGGTGGAGAGAGAAGGCTGTTAGAATGGCGCTGGGTCTGTTTGAGGTTGAAAAAGAGCAGAGAATGACATGCAACTTTCCCTCCCGTCCCTGAGCCCAGACGCCATGTTTCTCTCCTGGAAGCAGCTGCTGTGGCCTCTCATGAGCTTCTAGAGAGAGGAAGAGCAATAGCAAAGCCAGGGTAAAGCTGCGTACCAAGGTCCAGGTGTAAAGCGCCTGTAGTGTTCTAACCCACAGCAGGGCTTCTTAAACTGTCGTTTGCATATGAGTTTGCCTGGGATCTTTTTGTGATCCTGATTCACATCAGTGGATCTGGTTAAGGGCTTGAGATTTTAACAAGTTCCAGGTGTTGCTAAGGCTGCTGGCCCCAGATCTCACTTAGAACAGTTAAGTCCTGGGGAACCATGAGAGACCAGTCTGAGAATGACACAAGAGAGGACAGAATGGGCGAGGACGGGGCTGGAAAGTAGGTGGGCATGCTCAGCCAGGGCATTGGGACAGTAAGAAGTTTAGACAGCCGGGTGTGGTGGCACACGCCTGTAATCCCAGCACTCAGGAGGCTGAGGCAGGAGGATTGCTGCGAGTTCCAGGCCAGCCTGGGCTACGAAGTGAGTTCAAGGCCAGCTTGAACCACATGGTGAAATCCTATCTCAAAAATAGAAAGAAAAAAAAAAAGAAGAAGCTTGGATAATATTCTGCTGAGACAGTGTGACCCGACCCACAGGACTTCATGCAGACTGGGGCTTGCAGTGACATTACATGATCATATTTTCTTTCTAACAGCACTGGCTGCTGGTAAGGCAGGCAGTGGGACAGTGGGGGAGACCAGAGGCGGGAGGCTCCAGGATGGTGACCAGCATGGACGGAAGTGGGCAGATTCAGGATACACTTTGAAGGTAGAACTGAAAGAACTCTCTAATGGGTTGGCTGTGGCGGGTGGGGCTAAGAAGAAATGGCGCGGGAGGACTCTGGGCATTTAAACAAGGGAGGGTTTGTTTCACATCATTTGCCGAGATGGCAGGGGAGGCGCTGCTGAGTCTGCGAAGCCTGAGCGTCCACAGTGTAGAGTTGGGTGGCGAGTCTGAGGGCCAGCAGAGGGTCTTGCTTGAGATCTACACCGGGAGTTGCGGGCTGGGGGTGTGGTAGTGCTAGAGCACGTGCTCTCGTGCGTGAGGCCCTGGGGGTGGATGGAATTGTCAGTAGGAGCGTTCTTCCCCCAGTGCTGGTGCTCAAACCCGGAGCCCCCTGCAAGCTAAGCACCTGCGCTCCATCTCCAGCCCAGCACGGGCACCTTCTCGGCTAGGAAAAGGGAGCAGAGATGGAGAGCAGCAGAAGCTGGAGGGTGAGCCCTGAGGGAGGCGGATATTCAGGGGCTGCGGAGAAAGGACAAGCAGCAGAGGGAGCAGCAGAAGCTGGAGGGTGAGCCCTGAGGGAGGCGGATATTCAGGGGCTGCGGAGAAAGGACAAGCAGCAGAGGGAGCAGCAGAAGCTGGAGGGTGAGCCCTGAGGGAGGCGGATATTCAGGGGCTGCGGAGAAAGGACAAGCAGCGGAGGGGAGAGCTGGAGCCCAGGAGAGTCCCTGAAGGGCCAAAAACCCAAAGAACCTGTATCGTTTTAGTATCCCCTCCCCCACTGGCATCGTGGACTCGTTCTGAGAGAGGAGAAGAGCAGGGGTGCGTAGGGCGGATCAGACAAGCCCCGCACCTGCTAACGCACCCCGGCTGGGCGGCCACCTGCTGAAAGCTACAGGGAAAAACTGCTGGTACCAAGTCAGCGCGCAGGATGGGGGGCGGGCGCTGCCAACCTCTTCGCGTCCTCCTGTTACTCTACTAACTTATTCATGGTGCGCCCTGTGACCACTTCCTCACAATTTGTTTATTACTATTTTTATTTTCATTATCATATTAGATTCCTACACATGGGAGCCTGTGGGGGACATCTTTGTTTATGAGCGTACACTCCCACATGAATATTTTATGCAGGAACATTTTAAACAGACAGAATAACTCTTGGAGTAAAATTTTTATTATCCCTCTTCGCCGGGCTTCCGAGCACTGTGTGAACAGTCCTGGAGTGGGTGCCATCAATTATTAACAGCTGTTAAATTAGCATGGGGTTTGATTCTCCCCTACGCATGTTAATGTGGAGCGGGCGAGCGCCTCGGCTGCCTCCTGGATCTTCTGCTCTGCAGGCCGCTCTGGAGCTACAGAGTGAGCCCCTCTTCCAGGGCACTCCTAGCGGGCACGTGTGACCCCAGTGTCCTCCACGAGCTGGGGAAGGAGGCTGCGTTTGGAGTTCATCCCCCTCACCGTCCATGCGGGTGGACTGTCCTTCCTGCCCTTTGTGCGGTCCATCAGAGGCCCAGTACTGCAGGATGTGAGCCTATTCAGAAATAGGGCCTTTGTATCTTCCTGAAAGAGGTAAAGACATCCCATTCCAGTGATCCATGCACACCCATGTTTATAGCAGCAAATTCATAATATCTAAGGCTTGGAAGCAGCCTATATGTCCATCAACAGGTGAATGGGAAAATGTGTTTACACACCATGGAGTACTACCCTGCCATAAAGAAGGATAAAACTGAGTCGTTTGAAGGAAAATGGATGCACCCGGAGGCCATAATGTTCGGTGAAATACACCAGACACACAAGCTTCAGTGTTGCATGGTTTCTCTTATAAGAGAAACCCAAGGTATAAATAGAGAGTAAAACAAAGGATAGATAACAGGAAGCGGGGAGATCATTTGCCAATGAGAAGGGGACCAGGCGATGGAGGGAGGGCAGGGGGTGGAAAGGAACTGAGCTGTGTTCTGTGCCTGTCCCAGCTCCCCACAGCAGACGCCATTGTTACGTGCTGCACACATGAGCTGAAACAAGTAAGTCTCACCAAAAAGGAAATAGGGCCTTTAAAAAGGTGCTCAAGTTAAAATGTGGGCCTTAATCCAGCTGGGCCTGTGTGAGGGAAGCAGGGAGTGGGACAGGACCCGAAGTCTCAGGGGCAGCAGGAAAACACCGACTGGGTGTTGGCTCCGCAGGGCCTGGAGGGGCCCTGCGCGGTATCCCAGGGCTCTGTGAGGAGCGAGCGCCCCGATCCCAGCTCGCCACCCTCGCAGGAGCAGCAGGGACAGGGCCGTTGCCTTCCCCTTTCCGAGTGGCCTTGGGGAGGACGGATCCAGAGAGAAGAGCGCCGGCCTCCCGCCCTGTGCCCCTCTCCACAGTCCCTGTCCCCCGCAGGTCCCCAAACCCTTTGCCAGCTTCCTCTTCTGCTGCTGTGGAAAGTGTTGGGGTGGGCGGGAAGAAAGCCAGGGAAAGATGGGCAACAGGGCCACGGGTCCCTTCTAGTGGCCAAGCGCTGCTACGAGCCACTTTGAGAAACCTCAAACCACAGTCAGCCTTCAGCTAAAAACCAGTATTTACGTATGTTTCCTCAGACCAGGAGGCTTAGAGGAGCCTAGCAGGACCTCCTGGTGCCCCTCAGAGCACCCCCAAAATATTAACTGCCTGATGGAAGCCAAAGACCATCTTCTTTTATCCGGTGTCCCGTAGATGACACCATCTACACAGAATGCATCTTCCTGTTAGGTACGGGGACCCCCAGGACCCTCTGCTGTGTCCCTAGTGGACAACACAGACATGGAAGGGACATGAGCCCTGGGGTCTGCAACTTGAGTTGATTATTTTTCCTGTGCCCCAGTTTTTTCACAGATAAAAGAGGGCAACATGCTAAGTCCCTCATACGGCTTGGGGAGGATTCAGTGAGTTAGTACATGCCCTTCGCCCATGATAAGCATGTTGAGTGCATTAGTGTGATGGTTAGCTGTGTGATACAGCACGGAGCTATGGATGCCTGCTTCATATGATTATTACGAGGAATTAGGCGAGATTATAAATACTACTTAAGGACTAGAGGAAGGTTGAGCATGGAACACGTAGGTGCTCAGCTGATGGTGGTTCCTTTCCCCCTATCATTTGAGGGAAAACCAGTAGTTAATGGAGTAACCCACTTGGCAGGAGTATCCGTCGATTGACATCTAGACGTAGCCGAGCACCTAGAATAAACACTGCACGGAATCACAAGTACTGCACAGATCTGTCAAGTAGGCAGTGCTCTGTGGCGGCTCCTTTCACGGCCTGCTGTTTTCAAGACCTGGTTTCCAAGTAAAAAATGTCCAAAGGACAACATGTACTGCTTGGCATAAAGTAGGCTTGCTAAGTGCTTACTGGATTGAAATACAGTTTTTGATTATAAATGATGGCCTGAGTCATCAAAAAAAGACTGCACTACACGCTACTCCCCATGTCATATTCATTTGTTTAAGAAAGCGGAGAAGTGAATGATAGCTTTTTAAAAATTTCCATTCAGAATAGATAAAAACCTAAGATCAGTGCTGAAAGGTGTCTCAGCTGCTGGAAACTTACGTAGCTTTCTAGAGTGATCTGTTCTTGGGTACGTTCGCTATCCCATGTGTTTACTCTAGTGTTTTCTTATTTGTATGGGTTGTTTGTTTTGTTGTTGTTGTTTTTGTTGTTGTTTGTGGTGCTGGGACTGAAACTAGATCCTTCATACTGAGCTACATCTCAGCCCTTTATTTGTTGTTTTGAGACAGAGTCACACTAGGTCATTAAATTGCCCAGGCTAGGCTTGAATTTGCAATCCTCCTGTCTCAGCCTCCCAGAGGGCTGGGATTGCAGGTGGGTGCCACCATACATGGCTACACTCCATTTTTATTTGCTTCATCTTTAAAGGTAACTGATGCTGTTTATTCTGTAAGTCTGTATTTCTGATCTCTCGCTCCCTCTCTCACCCATCCCTCTTCCATCTTAGTCACTTTTTTGTTTTATTTTAACTCTATAGTGGGTTGTCTTCTTTATTCATTTATTCTTACACCCTCTTTTTCCTCACTGACGGACATTTTAAATAAACTGTCCCAAGTCTGCCCTTGGAAAACACTCTTTGTATGATCACTCTACTGATGTCGTGACCGTGTAATCCTGGTTTGCTGAGTGGTTTAGGTGAGATGTGGTTTAAACCCATGTTGGAGTTAACATGTACCATGTAAACAGCAGCCTTTGGTCTTCCAAACGGAGAACTGATGGAGTGCTACAAACCCAATCGCATTTGTTCTTCCCACAGACAATTTGTTCTTCCCACAGACCGCTTTACATTTATTCCAGGGCCAGATGAAGTCCTGAGAGACCCACGATGACTACAATCAGGTATTTTCCTTCATAGAGATGAAAGAATTATTCTCACCATTTATTTTTAATGTCTTTGTTTTTCTTAAAGTTACTAAAACAATAGCAATTATTTAGTTAGTCTAAATCCCTAAGGCAGATCTCCAGCTGCCTGTACAGGGATACCTCGGAGAAGCGATTTAGTAATGCGTAAAGGGGTTGGGAGGTCAGTGCCTAGGGCTGGGCAAAGACAGAGACCTCTTCAGCTGACCAAAGAGCACATACACACATTTATGTGCTTTATTTATTGAGCATATACACACTATTTCCTGGACCAGAGTGGTGATTGCTGTGGGCTGGTAAAAAGAGGAAAGCATTCTTGCAAGGATGACACAAGGGTCAATAAGGAAACCATTTTTTCCCCAAAGTGAAAATTTTGCTACTATTACTGCATTGCTTTAAAGATCCTTGTTGTCCTCAGCAGGTCTTACCTTGCCCTGTTAGCACCGAGGTGTCATGAGCAGCAGGGCTTCAGATGAGACCGGGAGAAAGCGGAGCATTTCCACGTCCCTGTCCGGCTTGCAGGTCAAGTCAAGGACAGCCTCTTGATTTAATTTATAATCTGTGGTTCCCAACAGTTTGTGCAGATCTTTTCATTTAAATAAATATATAGTAACTGAATTCTTTTCTCTATTTTCATATTATACTCTGGTTCCTGATTTTTTTTTATTTTTGTTTTCATTTTTTGAGACAGAGTCTCACTATGTAGTTCAGACTGGCTGCGAACTCACTATATAGCCCAGGCTGACATCAAACTCATGGAGATCCTCCTACCTCAGCCTCCCCACTGGTGGGATTACAGGCATGCGCCACCGTGCTGGGCTACCAAATTTCTGATTCTAATGTTGAGCTGGAGCCCACCACTGGTGGTAGAGGTTGCTGGCCCAGGTCCAACCTGGGGTGCAGAGCTGCCTCCTTGGTGTACCCCGTGTGGTTATGACTCCTTCCCAGACACAGCCAATACTGTTCTCATGATTGGACATGAGGACCTTTGCCTTTCCAGAAAGCTTGTGATTAGTATCCATCAGGCTGGGCCATTGGTAGTGGCAGGATGACCACCTGGTCTAGACCTGGCCTGTCCTTCTTAAGGCTTTTCCCTGCCTCCTGCTGCTCTCCAGGCACTGTGAGCTCAGGCCTTGACCTCCTCACCCCTTGCCTTTGGTTTGCCGATTCTCCCATGGTGCTGTGCTTCTGCTTGACTGTGATTGGCAGACAGCCAGAAGCCAAGGGCGGAAGTCTAGTCTGGAGCAGTTTCCCTCCGAAGTCTGTGGGCTGACCCAGCGTCTTGCCATTTGGTGTGGGACTTCCTCATTCTTAGAAGGGTGGATGAATATTTCCCACCCTCGGGACAGGCCGCTTCTCTGGAAGGGATGTGGCATACTTCAGTTTTCTATAACTCTGCATTCTAATAACCAAAACTAAAAAAACATATCTAGAGCTCCATGGCAAAATCAATAGAGCCCCTCTATGTACGTACAGTCCCTTCCTTTTGAAGTGCAGTTGATCTTAGTTGAGCTAGATGGTACAAAAATTATTCATGATAAGGCAGTCAACTGTTAATGTTGACCTGAGTAATGTTATAATATGTGTCAGAACCACGTAGAGGGCCAGGAGTGGTGGTGCACATCTGTAATCCTAGCACTCAGGAGGCTGAGGCAGGTGGATCACTGCAAGTTCAAGGCCAGCCTGGGCTACCTAGACAGACCCTGTCTCAAAACAGAAACAAGGGGGGCGGGAAATCCTTTACAATTGTTCATTCCATTTCTAGGAATTTATCCTGAAGACATTAACAGATGTGTACGGACATAAGTGTGCAAGAATACCATGCCGAATTCTATATTGAGAAAATTTGGAGACAGTCGAGTGGTTCAAAAACAAGCCTACATAAAACACAGCACACCAATATATGTGATGATATGTTATATAACCATTAAATTATGTTTTCAAACAATACTTTTCAAATAAGAGAAATTCCAAAATTTTTAAAGGGTCTTTTAAATGTACATCAGTGAAGAATGGGGTATAATACTTTAAGTAATAATATTATCCCAATTTTGTGAAAAGAAGGCAAAACATTTTCATGTAAGCACACTTAAGACAAACAAAAATAAAGCTAATATTTATCTCTGGGTTGTGTGGATGATTGAAACAATATGTAATTCTGTATTTTTCAAATACTCTACAGTAAATGTGTTACTTTCTTACTCAGAAAGACAGTTGCTATTTGTTGAAATAATTCACACACACACACAGCAAAATCAAACAAAAACACTAAAAGCTCTCGCCTGTTTTTTTGTCTTTGATTTTGTTTTGTTTTTTGAGATAGGGTCTCTCTATGTAGCCCAGGTTGGCCTCAGATTTACAGTAATCCTCGTGCCTCAGCTTCCAGAGTGCTGGGATTACAGGCATGCACCACCACGCCCGGCTTTGCCTGTGTTTTTTCTGAACTGTTCGCCTTATCCTTCTCACTGATATAGGAAAAAGGGGAACTAATATTTATGGTGCTAAGAATTGAAATGGTTTCTGTAATCATGTGGAAACCACGTATCTTTCCTACTTCACAGATAAGGAAACAAAATAACACACACACACACACACACACACACACACACACACACAATGGTGGGAAAAGCAAGATGTGAGTTTAGGGCAGTGTTGGTAAACCTTTCAGAGCTTTCAATGATAATAAACTGCCTGCTGTGGCACGTGTGCTGTCGGTCCCCCACTACTGATTTAGGGAATGGGTTCCTCATGCATGGGTTCGTCGCACTTCTGTGGGTTCGTCGCACTTCTGTGCTGTACCCGATGATGATTCATGTCTGGTTTGGCTTGGCCTGGTTGAGTGTGGTTTGAGGCGGGATCTTCCTGTGTTGCCTCAGCTGCTTTTGAACTCCCGGGCTGGAGTAATGTTCCCACCTCTGTCTCCCGAGTAGCTGGGACTACTGGTGTGCCCAGCCATGCCCAGCCATATTTTAAAGTTGCACCTGGGCTTTCTCATTTACTCAGAACAAAGATTCCTCTTAGCACCAGGGAAATCGTGATTCAGAGGTAGAGGCTGGGGTTGCAGAGCCCTTGCCTTGCAAGCGCTAAGGAGCAGGGCTCAAGCCCCAGCACCATAAAACCAACAAACATTCCTTCACGAACGGACACTTGACCTCCTATAAAATTTCCATTCAAGCTAATTTTCATTAGCTACGATTTTGCCCAAGTAGTAGAAACTCTGAATAATTACACTAAAAATATTACCTCTTTGGTCTGAATAAAATTGAACAACTATGATTATCCAAACAATGGGTCCAAAAAATGCTGGGACTGGCATCTTTTGCACCTGTTTTGTTAATTGGGCACAGTAATCACTGCAAACAGGTGTCTGAAACATAAACCTTGGTCTGCTGTAGAAATTTTCATCACCCCAGTCCCTCGAAGACGATGCTTCTTGCTGGTCTACTTAAATCCTGCCTGACAGGTTACAGGAAGCCTCCGGTGGGGACTGCCGAGGCCTTGAACCCCACTAAGTTGTCAGGGTACTGTGGCACATGTCCACAATCCCAGATACTCAAGAGGCTGAGGCAGGAGGATCACTTAACTCAGGAATTCAAGACCAACCTGGGCAACACAATGAGACCAGTCTCCAAAAAGGGGTGGGGGAAAGAATATCACCTTTTCACTCCAAGGCCAATGTGGTTGAGAAATCAGCCTTTAATGATCCATGGCGCCTGGAACGGAGATACGGCTTCTAATTATGTCTCAAGTACGATGTCATTATTTGTGTAGGCAGATAGCCAACCCCTGAGTAACAATGACCCCTGTATCCGGCTTATCTGTTATCCTGTGATCAGTAAAAACTAAGAAGGCACCCGCGTTGAGAAAACCCCAAGCAATATCATTTACATTTTATGAGAAGGCCTATGGTAAGAAGAGGACCAATTCTGATTCCTGTCCATACAGTCCCTCCTCTCTTAGAGGACTAAGAGAGGACTAAGTCCTCTCTCAAGAGTCTAGAGGACTCAGAGAGACCAAGACAAAAACAACAAGAATTTGGAACAATTATCATAGTGGTAAATTGGCATTAAATTTTGAAAATTGTAAATGGCATAAGTGTTACGTACCATAGAAGGGCAGGTGAAAGGTAGAAGGAACAGAAAAGAATATGGAAAATAAATAGAAGTTAGAGGCCCTTCCTAAGAAAAACTACCATTTATGTACGTGAACCAGCAAGATCAGAGATTATAAACAGCCACGCTAAAATGGACCAGGAGCGGGTTATTCAGCCCAACATTTCAAAAATCGGATTTCCACACAAAACCCTGAGAATCTGACTTCCTTTCACCTGAGGTTTCACAATGCCAGGTGCATCCTTGTGAGGTGGCAACCTGCTGGGGTCGGGCAGGGCCGTCCCTGCAGATGGGGTGCAGCTGGACCCAGTCTCCGCCACCTCCATCTCCTCATTTGTCAGCTACATAATTGGGCCCTGTAGGAATCTATCACTTGCAATCCTGCCCCCTACAATGAAATTGGAGGTCAACAGTGCAAACTCAACAAAAGACTACTTATTCTAGGCACCCATAAACTCTTTGTGAAAAGAGGTGTGGTATGAGTCAGTTCCGTAAATTGTCTTGAGTTGTTTACTGGGCCAGCTGCTGATGAACTCAGCGATTGAACAAGGAGACCTAATTGTCACGGCCATCTAGGTGTCCGTCCAAGACACGGCGCCCACACCTGGGGAGGAAGAGCCAGTTCTAGGGTGGGTGTTGGCCATGTGCACAGCTGCCCAGCCCTGAAGTTGGAGAGGGGAGTAGTGGGTCCCGCCGTGACATCAACCTTCTTCAGAAGCGTGGATGGAGGGGTCCATGAATAATTCACATCACAAGCAGATTGATGCTCATGAGCCTCAAGGGGGATGAATTACCTCGCGTGCATTTCCTGTCTAACTGTCAGTGTATGTGTGCTGGCGCCTGGGACAAGCGTATGAATAGGTGCTTTCTTTGATGCCTCTGCTTTGGGCAAGGAATTTTCAGGATCTTGGCTCCAGTTTCTAATGTCTGACTTGCTACTTATAACCTGGACATCATGAGATGATAAATAGAAATAACTCAAGACTAAAATTGTGCCTCTCCTAGAGAGGAGAATGGATGGAAATAGAACAGAGGTTCTAATGCATCTGGACAGTGCTGGAGCAGGGGAGGAGGCTGGTGTAGTGGTGAGGAGAGGGCCGGGGAGGAGTGCAAACTTGCTGCCCACCTCAGAACTTGGACCTGCTTCTGCACAGTGGGCCTCCGGGACAGCCAAGCTCAGCTCTGCAATACAGCAATACTGCAGTAATGTGAGTCACACAAATCTTTTAGTTTTCCAGTGCACGTAAAATTTAGGTTGACACTGTAGAATAGTCTATTAAGTGCGCAGCAGTATTCTATCTAGAAAGAAAACAACAAGGACATTTTAATTTAAAAATACTTTATAGGACTAGGGGTGTAGCTCAATGGTAGAACATTTGCCTAGCATGCACAAAGCTTTGGGTTCAATCCCAACACCACAAAACAAAAATTATTTTATTGCTTAAAAATATGTTAATGGTCCTCAGAGCTGCTGGA